CTGATAGAGTAACATAGGCTACTTTTTATCACAGTATTTGTATGAATTCTAGAATAAAACGTACAGGATCAAGATCTACTCGAAAAAATCTTATAACATTCACGCGAGCGAAGCCAACGAAAAACTAGAAGTTAAGTTATACGTATGTCATATTTGTTATGATATGCTTTCCATTTATAATAAAAAGAACCATTCTGTTTGTGGGTTTTTTTCGGTCTTTAATTCTCACTAGTTAGCTATGACGTATTAATTCATATTTATTGGTATAACATCTTAGAAATCTGCTTTGACGATATTTAATGTTGGTAGGATTAACATATTATTATGTAGAGATGTTAACTGACCAGGTGATTCGATTTTCTGTCATTGACACTGCCACTAGTAATATTTTTGACTCTATTTAATATTTGTAACAAGTATATTTTTTTGTAACTCTTGTAAAGTTCACGATATTTTACGGAATAAACTGAAAAACGACCAGACGGATCACATAATGTTGAGCTATCGGTGCCGCTGAGAACCTAACGGGTAACCGGGGCTCCGGCTCGACGTGCAGGAGAAGGAACGGGGTGGTTTTTAGTCAGTAAGAGTCTGACACTCCCTTCCGCCTCACGCAGGCGGGAACAGTCATTCGAACATTTTCCCCCCTTAAAAAAAAAAATCGGTGCCGCTGTTTGACACCCATTCCCAAACCAATACCCAACACCAAAGAATTTACAGGTGCGATACCGATCTTTTGTCAAAAGTCATACAAATATTAACCTGAATATTCAATTACACAATTAATTCAAACACTTAAAGTTTTTTTAATCAAAAACACAGGAGATTCAGTACAACGTCCTCGAAAGCGCGACGATTATGATTTAATAGGTGCAAAGAAAGACCTTGCGAGTGACTCATTCATTCATATTCGTTCGTAAGATTCGTTTTACGTATAAAACACGATTTTATCTTTTTTTTTATTATACATGTCAGTGAACGCATATGTATACTCCGTATTATAAAGAACTTTGTATTAATATTTGTTTTCGAAACTGAGAGTCCACTTAGATACACTTATGGGTCCTTTACCCTAAAAATGCACATTTACCTTGAACCTTTCCTACCCTTTTATAATTCTAAGATATATGATACTTTAGTTAAGGATTAAAAAAATAAATCTTTTTTTTTTAATTCGAATCGATTTATTGAACCTTCTTGTGTTACAAATGACTTCTTGCGACATTTTAGCGACACCATTATTTATGAAATATTTAAAAATGGAAGGTGGAGCTTTTTGATTATTTGAATGTTTTTTTTTTCAAACACAACTAAAAATTTTAAAAGCACGGACTCACCCTGCGTAACTATTTAAAAATAAACTTTAAAGATAGTGTTTCGTTTTTTAAATTCAATTGCTACCTTAAAACATTTGAATTTTATCTAATAATGGTAAAATAATAATAATCATTGCATCGATAAAATTAATAACATTAATCATTCACGAACCTAATAATATAGACAACATAACTACCACGAAGAGTTAATAAAACCAAAACGCGGTGTTTCCTCACTTTAACACCTTTAATAATAAATATAAAAGTATAATTAGTTCCGGTCTTCCGAGTAATATCGAATTGATTAATGCTATCTATATGCTTTTATCTATAAAATTCGCATATTTGATTAAATGTGACGTAATAGAGGTGTCTTCCTTTACTAACTGTATATGTTGTATTTGAGAAAAGCTCACAATATTTGTAGGTAAATATGTTGAAGGTCACACTAATTTGCTTATAATTTTTGAGATGTTTTATGCATAGGTACTGTTTTATTGAAATTAATCTAATTATGTTTAGGATTCAAGTAAAGATAATAAAAGTGTTTTTTGAGAGGAGTAAATCATACAATTACTTCTCTCGTCCGGGTGAGACGAGGAGGAGTGTCAGACTCATACTAACTCAAACCTACTCCGTTCCTACTCCTGCATTTCGAGCCGGAGCCTTGGAAACCCGTTAAGTTCTGTGCGGCTAAGACATGCCTTAATTATTGTAACAAATATAGAGGTAAGCCCAAACCCAATAAAGTATAGAATCACAACGTTTTCATTATAATTTAGTATTGTATTAGGTAATACAACATACATAAATTTAAAAGCAACATCGTACACGTGTTCTCTTTAAAACCTAATATATTGTAGTGAACTTGGTAATACAATAATGAGTGACGATGCAAAGTATGGGAAAGTATTTATGAACAATGCCTGCAAAATATTATAATCCCACACAATTATAGTTCCTGCCTCATTGCCTAGCAACGAACACGAGAAGCCGTATTTTTTTATAATCAAACGTACTTACTAGATTCATTAAATCCATTTTGTGCCCCCTATTTGTCTGCAAGTGCATTGTTAATCATTATCTTCCCGTTTCTGGCTGGATATAAATCTCTCTAGTATCCAGTAGTACCACGAACTTATAGATATCGTCACTTCATCGAGAAGTTCTCTATACTAAGTTTGCCTAGACTCAAGTGTCTCTAAAGGCCCACCCTTTGGAAACGCCTATTCAGTTTACGTCGTCACCTTCTACCCTGCAGCAAAAATAATAAGTCTTGCAATAAGTTTACCCCTACAATATGCGCTATACAGTTTATCGATCGTATTCTAGAAGAAAACTAGCAATATCTCAATAATGTCAACATAAAACATTACATTGTTAAAGTAAAAATTACAATAACACTGGAAATCTCTCATAATACGGTAATTGATAAACTAACTGACAACTTAGTTCAATAGTAATAATGTATGAATTAAAACATTTATCTTAATTAATGTGTAAATGATGAGCATTCAATTAAACTACATCTGAAGATTACGCCGCGTCAGATTCCTATCAACAGTTCCATTACTCAAGTTGATTGATGGTTGACGTTTTGATACAAACACTGTTTGCGATTATAAATCTAAACCCTATACTGAGATAATCCACGTTCCGCACCTAATAAAATATAGAGTATCAGCTCGAGTAAATAACACTCAAGTTTCAAAAGTCAATGTCAAGGCAATAGGGTAGATGCCTAATTTTTATTTTAATGTCCGTCTGGTAGATTATTTTAAATCATTAGACACGTATTTTTTATTTTTTTACAGAAACGAATACTTTCGACGATATATTGATTTGAAATGTCGCGTGACGTCACTTCTATGTACACATTCTTGACGTATTAGCCTCCTACTCCTAAATTTGATTCGTTTTATCTACGTCTTGTTTTATTAAACGACAAAAAAATAAATACGTGTCTAATATTTTTTCATTACCTAATTTACGGACTAATTAGATTATTAATTTTCATACCCTGTCATCCCAATTCATAAATTTTTGATGCTTTTGTAAATAATATTATTTTGTACAATTTTTTTTCTCTAATCACAATTTCACATTTTTAAACATATATGCGTGTTTTACTTAGTACGACTTTCATTAACATCGGGAAAACCCTCAAGAGAAAACTCTTGAGCCATGCAATATTTAATTAGCTTGACTTTTAATTAGATACAAGATCAACAGATTTGCATATTTTCTAGATCAGGGTCATCATTGCTAATTCTGTTTGAATTTCAATCATCCATGTCATTCATGTAATTTAATATACAATTTTCTCCTCTCAATAGTCCCCACAAATTCAAAGAAGGAATTAAAAAGGAATACAATTACAGTCTCGATTCCTTTAATGATTTGATGAAAGTGCGGTGTTCACAGTAAAGGATTCAAACAAATTATAGATTGACATATCTAGGTAACATATGAGATGAGAGTTTAGAAAGAAACTCTCACTTTTCTGTTATTGTTGTCAATTATCCCACTTGTTTTCTATGATCTGTATAAGTAAGTAGGTGACAGAACTATGGTTCTAGGTAATCATGAATACAAGTTTAAAATGGAAAGTCTTTGAAAGAGTTTCCTTTTCATAGTTTTAAAAGTGAAATTATTGTTTTGGATTCACAAAACTTTTAGAAATGAAGAGGAAAGTTGGAAAAACAAATATATTTTTACAGAACCTATTCGTGGAGGATACTCTTTACCACTGTATTTTTTTTATTCACAGATATATTTACTTCAGTTGCAATTTAAAAAAACGAAATAATAAGCATCTCCTTCCATCGAAAAATAAATAATAAATCATCGTTCAAGATATCAAGTCTCAAACTATTTATAGGCAACACAATAAGACCATTCAATATTGAATCTTATTGTAACCTATATTTTATGCTATTGTAGGTGTGAAGCACCTGAATAAGATCCGAAGACCTCATTAAAGTGGTTTATAAGTTGAAAAACTGGATACTTAGGTGAATACCCTGTGAGTCGGAAGAGAAACAGCCTTCAGATTGATTCTCGCTTCAGTAGGATCTATTTATGCAAAAAATTGCATAGTTTTGAGAAAAAGCCAGGATTTTGTAAGGATTTAACTTGTTTGGTTACGGTAGTATTTAAAACATTTATCCATCTTTGCTCTTTCCATAGATGTCGTAAGAACTACATTTGACAGACCAGGCAGTAAGGCTCTCTGTGAATTCCAAACCATTTAAACTGCAGTTTCCAAGTCGCTGGTTATGGGTGAGTATTATGGCAGAGGCTCTTGTGTAGAAGAGGCTCATAGTTCATTAGTGACCGGTCGCGAGCTGATTATTTCTTTTTGGTTTTGGTTTCCGTTTTGAGTTAATTAAAAATACTCAAATTGAAATTCCATAATCTCTGCCTTCTTCCATGGGAGACAGGCGTGAGTTTATGTATGCATGTATTCAAAAGTATACTAGTTTTCTCAGGACTGTTATTGTGAGTTGGTTCCTTCTTGCACAGTAGGCTCTTCAAGTAAGAAAATTCCCTTCCAAGTGAGGACTACAAACTGCAGCTGTCATAAATACATGCAGTTTGTAGTCAGTCAAACATACAGCCTAGCATTGGTTATGAACAGGGGTTGCGAAGGTAACTGAGGTTTATTTAAAAAAAAGGTTAAATTTAATTTTCGAATGTAATTTGTTTAACCGTCAATGCGCTCAATTCAGCTATATCAATTTTTTTATGCAAATTTTTAATATTTGCTATAGTTTGTAGTTTCTTTCTTCGCCATTTTGTGTGTAAAGCTTTAAGAGGCGGCAAGGCTACGTCACAAACGGTATTATTATTAAAGTTTATTAGATTAGATATACCCCAAAATTCACCCAAATTGGTTTAGCAGTTCAGGTGTTAAAATTAAAACGTAACAACCCAACAATATTAACTTTATACTATTGATAAATAGTACCTATAATATTAAAACTAGGTTAGAATACGTAACGTTAGGGTTTTGAAGGGAATCAATTTATTAATTGCATTAGTAAATAGTTTTGTAATTAAAAAGTCATAAGATTTATTAACGTTCAGTCGTCACATACATTAATATTGTATTGTTTTTTTAAGTGGAACTCATAACATAGTCAGTTTTGAAAAATGTAGATTCTAGCATTAGTAGCATTCAATATACGTGCTTTCTGCCTAAACCCAAATATCTATTAACTAGTTATTAGCTTTTTTGCTCTAAAGCTACGGTACTTGCAAATAATACTTGCTAGCAGGTAGATAATTCCGCGGGACAGATATAGGTACATTTATTTAAAAAATAAATTTTAAATATCTTAAAAAATAACAAAAATTATGATGAATATCAGATTTGCTACAGGTTATTAACTTGTATGTTATATAAAAATATTTACGTCGCACGTCATCTGAATTTCATGACAATTGGTTACGGATGCTACGGTTATAGCTATGTACCTACGTCGCGAAACAACGCATTAACGATCAATATTACATTTTAACGACATTTGACATATTTTAGTAAAAATACCAATTAAAGGCTAATTAAATGAACAGTTAACAACGTAAAGAAATTTTAATTACATGTCATAGTGATGTTAAGTATTTATTAATAATGCTACAATTTCCCGTATAACTTGTACAGTTCTGATGTATCACATCTAATGGTACATAATATCTACGCATTTAATACATAACATCAATCTCTTCTAACATGTTACATTGTTACGCAATATTTGTTCATTTATTTCCGAATAATAGCCATCGAATGTGTCTCATTTATTTTTAAAACACATTAAAGCTGATCTACGATTATGAATATTGAACTAGTACCGGAAATTGTCGTATTCAAATTAAACTTGAGACAAGCGCCGCGTGCCGGTACGATAAAAATCACTTATGATATTTATTATATATCCTAATTATAATAATTTATCAAGACATGGTGTCAAATAAGTATAAAGCAATCACGATGACACTGGACGCACGGTGCATTCAATGACATCGACCTGCGGTCACAGGTTAGTCCATTGTACAACTTTTGCTTTCGTGCAAGGACATCTTTATTTACTTCCTATCTATGATCAAGTCATCTCGTAACAGGATTTCCACGTGCAAATTGAATACGAACATGTAATAATGAAATCATCACATAGCCTTTGTTTTCTCGAAGGATGTGTTAGAATAAACATAAAAATATTAATTTAAATTTTTGACAATAATGACTAGGTAGGTAATTACTATGCACGATTTACTACATACGTCCATTCACCGGAACGGACACTATTGAGACGTCACTCTAATACACTGAAACATTGACTGAAAGCTATGAAAATAAGAACGTACTTGTTGCGCGTTTTCCGTCAGGGATCAGCTTCAGGCTGTGCGGCTTCTGCAGCAGCTCCTGCAGCTCCGGCTGGGGTTCGAACGAGTTGTTTCTGGACTTCATGTTTATTTACTTCACTTGCACAGGTGTCAATTATTTCATTACTATACGCACTTTTGGAAAATAATGATATTTGACAAAGTCGGCCGATGCTTCATCCGAGGGGCGGAGGCGCATGGCTCCGAGACGTGAAGTGTGCCGGGAGCGAGGGCGAGCTGCTATATAGCGCGGCCGCGGTGCACGGTGGTGCGGGCAGAGAGACGCGAGGATACGAGCAGAGCCGCGCCGCGACTGAGCTGAGCGCGCCCATCCGGTCAAGGGTATACTACACCTCGCGGACGCGGACCAACTGCCTAGCGCCGACAGCCGACACAGCCGCCGGCGGCGCCTTCGCTCCTACATTGTTTATTGTTGTTGTTCACTTACTTGAGAAAAACATGTCAATACTGTTGTTATTTATACATGTGTGATTGTTTGTACAGTACACACTCTCAGTTTAGTAAGTTCACGTAAATACGTATACTAGTAAAACGTAATTTTTAATAACAACCCATGTCAATTCAGTCAAACAACACAGATGATTAAATCAAATTCAAACGCCTTCTATTCAATACGTTAAATATTCGAACGCTATATTCCAATTACCTACTAAATTAATCGAAATAGCTAATCTAACTGCCAGGTTGGTCCTTGTTCCGAAGTGAAGCAGTAAAACATCTTTCGCAATTTGTGAACTGCATGGCAAGAACGTAAACCTGTACATAAATACAAAACATTGATACCTAAATACATACATACATACCTACGTATGTACAACTAGACACTAGGTGAGGTATTGTAAAGGTTAATGACACTAAAAGTAAAGGGCTTAAGGAAGACAAGTTTCAAGTTTCTGAAAATAACACTTATCGAACTTATTTTTAGTAGATAGTTTATTATGTAAATAGTAATTGCGACGTGATTAATGTATCAAGCTAGGTATTGCAAGAGATAAACAAAATTATTTCTTATTTTTCAACGACTGAATAAAATTATCGGGTTATAGCAATTGACATATTATGAACCATTTAGAGCAATCAAGAAAACTCTACACCCTAAATACTTAATGTAACTACTGATTACAGCAACAGCCAATTTTTAAATCACAAACCGCAAAGAATCTGATTTAGGTGTCTAGATTGGTACGTGCACAATTCAAGCAATAAGTTTAGTATTTGTACAGTTCACATCAACATAACATCAGTTAGTCAGAAATCATTGGATTTTCTCTAGCGGCACCGGTAACTTTTATCTCCAAAGGCACCTGTTAACACTAAACTTTAACTACAAACTACTTTAAATTAAAATGGTGAAACTCAAACGTCCACTAGCGTGCGCGCACCGGTGTCTGACGAGGAGCTCTAAGGGTTAATATTGTTGTTGCGGAGAACCTAACCTCCTAACGGGTTACCGGGGATCCGGCTCGTCGAGCAGGAGAAGGAACTGGGTGGTTTTTAGTCAGTAACAGTCTGACACTCCGTACCACCTAACCCAGGTGGGAACAGACTTCGATGATTTTCCCTCCTTAAAAAAGGGTTAATATTGATGGATTATGAAAGCATGTTAGTCCACTAACTTTATCTACATTTCATTATTCTTCACATAACTTCTAAATTTTTTATTAAATAATGTCACATTTTCATATAAAATCGTGTCAGGCCTCTAAGCTCTTGTTAAATCTCAAAGCAATCTGGTTTTAGATCTGAGTGTACTGATTGAGATGCGATAGTATGTTCATGAGTCATTGGGACGTGTCCACTGACTTGTTCCATCTCGTTATTACATATCTTATGTTCCAGTTTTATAAAATTACATCGTAACAGACAATGGACAGAATTACTTGTAGTTGGAGCTGGTTTTGACCTGCTTTATGTGTGGTTTAGCACTAGATGTGAAAGATAACAGAGAGACTAAAGACAAGGTATTATAATAACTCCTAAAGATATCTTATAGACACAAAATGACTTGTCGACAATATGTACCTCTATGTAAAACAAACACCCTTATAGGACATACCGTAAACAAACGCAAATTTTAGCCACTTAATAAACTTAACTCGTCGAGTACCGTATTTATAGACACAATTAAAGAACAATAGGTTGTGGTCACTGGTGACCGCTTGGTGTTTGACAGTTTAATAAACACTTAATAAGTAAACTTAATATTAAATTAGGTACAGTAGAATCCAAAAATTACCTTAAATGTTATCAAAATAATCCTGTAACACTCTCACTGCCAATAAAAATATGTCGATTGGCATCGAATAAGGAAGAAACAAATAAAACTATAATTTACATAACTGTTGCTTGAATCTCCGAGGATCGAGCGTCTGCCCGCATATTGGGGGAAATACCTACTCTACGTCGAGCACCGTCAACTCTCTCAGATTATGGTCATGAAAATGATTAATTTATACGATAAATAAAAATTTGGAAATTCAGATGAGTACAATATCACTATAAATAAACCCCAGAAATCATGACAGTTTAACCATAATGTAAATGATATTATCGCTAGACTAAGGCACTCAATCCAAAGCCTGAACTATCCCAACTAGGTAGTATTATAAATATGAAAGCAAGTTGGTTTGTTTGATACCTCTTAATCCGTCGTGTGTCTAAACGTGAATCCACGCGAGACACAATGTATTTTCTATTGTGTCGGTGTACTCAAGCGGTTAAACCATTACCAATCTTCTATAAATTCTGCATATTAGGTATATTCATGAGTACATATTTAGAGGTATATTGAGTAGCATGCTAATTCACGGGCAAGCCGCAAAAGCGGCAAAATATCTTGAAGCTATAATCTTAAATATTTAGTTCGTCTCAAGAAACCAGCAAGATTACATCGCTGCTCACTATCACCACCTTAGCAGTGAGGCACAAATATAGTAAATATACATTACATATGTATACTTAACATATTATATATACCTGATCTGTATCCCATATAGCTTATTAGCATCTATTTTGCATTGTTTGACAGTTCTGGCGGTTTATAATAGTGTGACTTCTTCAAGGAAGATTTTGTAGATAACTCAATATCCTTAAAGGAATGGTCAGTGGGAATTTACCTGGACTAATGGGAAAACAAGCACGTCTTCTTTGTTTCATAGTAACTATGTTACTTCTACTTCCTTCTGTTTTATCAATAGTGCGTGGTAAAAGGAAACTCGTAGCCTTTACCGCTTTTCTGGCTATCAACTGACATAAAAATCAAACCGCAATGTCGCCCCATTGTAATCTAAAACCAACACTCTTTTGTTTTTCACTATAATATTAGGTAAGTTAAAGTAAATAATAGGAAGGAAGCGTGAATATAAATACATATATAGTTCATGAAAAAAAAGTACGCCGAACATGTCGCGAACAAACTTTTTTTGCATCACGACGATTCTAACTCGGAGTTCGCATGTGGACGCCCACAGGAATATAAAAAACATTTATTGTATGTGGACGCCGTAATCTGTGATTTGGAAAAATATGGTAGGTAAGTTTTATTGTGATTATAGGAAGGAAACAAGAAAATAAAACCTATGTTACACATACAACTATCGACTTAACTCGACTTTTCTAGGCCTCAATTTATTTATAACTAGTTTAATTACTGAATAACAGTGGAGATTTAAAAATAATTTACTTAATTGTCCTAATTATTATAACGGACGCTGATAAAATACACAGTACAGTTCGATATTCATAATGGTCCCATAATGGTGGTGACAAACAGCTGATGATGTCTGAAATAGTGGTATTTAATTAACTTTTATTCTGAAGGTAATTTGGTTTGCGGATTTCAGTAAAATAACAAGTCCAAGTAGCTTTATCAATACCAATATTGATTTCAATTTAAGTTGGAAGTAAAATTAAATTGCGAATATATGTAAACGGCTAATTTTGTTAATGAATTCAAAATTAAGAGCATTGAACATTTGGTATAAATGTTTAAATTTACTATGCACGACTAAGTAAATATGTAGAGAGAATTAACATTAACAGTTTACTAATTAAATTATTAAGACTGCTGAGTGCTTGAATGTGGGAGTTAATTTACGGATTGAATGAAGTATCAAGTATTGGGATTTTCCAATGCAAAATTCTTTGTCAATAACCGACTTGAAAAATGGACGACGTTTGTACGTCCAGTTGTGATAAGAATTTTTATTGTAATACCAATTAATTAGTGTAAATAAATGGGTCTGAATTTGGATTTCTGAAACTAAGATAAAGCTCACAGGTAGAGCTACGTGGTAAAGGATTATTTGCATTCAATTTTCAAAGCTAGAAATTAATATGTAAGACAGAAGTTTGGTAATATTGGTTTTCTTTTCGGAACAAAACAGGAGGCGAGAACTTGACGAGAAAAGACAGAAATCTATTCTATACATATAATAAAATCGTAGGAAAGTGAAAACGTGATCTACTGTCGGTACCGAAACCAAAAATATGGATTTTATCATTTTGTCTGTTTGTCTGTATGTATATCCGAGATGAACTCAAAAAGTGCTGCATGGATTTACTTCAAATTTTGCATGATTATTACTAACAGGGTCAACATATAGGCTACATATTATTATGCTATCAACTACGGGGGAGGAGCTGTGAATAACTATTCCACGCGGACGAAATCGCGGGCTCAACTAGTACCAAATAAACCACTGTCAATGTATTGTACAATAAATTTTATGATAAGTAATGCCTGGTGTAGTAAAAATAGGGTATAAGACATATATGACAAGGTTCTTAAAATAAAAATAAAAACGTAGAAGACTCCTCGCCGTAGTCGAAACCGTCATGGATGTATACAATAATGATGCTCAATTGTAAGTGCATTCCTTTAAATGGTTAAATTTGAAAGAGGACTTATAAAGATTCGTTGGCCGAGTGGTCGCAAGTGCGACTGCTGGGCTGCTGGTCTCGGGTATTACTAGGTTTTAAAAAAATCTCAGTAGTAGCACGGAGTATGGAATTGTGCCCGGTATATGGCAATAGGCTAACACGCTATTACACGCGACTCAAAAC